GCACTGCAACGGGATCAGTTAGCACAAACACTCCAATCAAATATAGGCGCAGCTGCAAAAAGCTAAGTAAGAGCTGCCGCATTATGTGGCCTTTCTAGGAACAGGAAACACTTCAATGTGGTCATCATGGCTGCAGAATGACTCAGTCGTGCACATTTTACTTGCAAATAGCTTTGCAAGCTGCTCTCAGTTCGCCTGAGCTCCACGGATGAGTCATGAGTTTATGCTCTGTGAGACTGTTCGAAAATAATTATGCAACAGCTTCAACTGTTTGCTTACGTGTTTCCATGGTTGAATGAGCAGTCATGCATGTAAAACGCCTTGAGATACGTTGTCATTTGTCGCAATAAAAAATTGAATTGGATTGAACGCACATTTTAAGAGAGTGAGGGTGTCCGGGACGGAAAGGGACAGCCAGAGAGACGACCAAACAGGAAGGGGACAAAGGGTCTCGAGGGTCAGGGATGAGCTAAGCCTCGCCGGCTACATGTGCGCATGCGTGTTTGGTGAATTGCGTGTATGCGAGTGTGTGTAATTGCAGCTGCAGCTGATTTGGAGGTATAATCTGGACAGAATCAGGTCTGAGCTGGGGACAGATGTCACAGGGCCCAATATAACCCTCGGCCCTGTGAACAGTGTCAACCACAGAGCAAAGATTCTCCCAGAGCACCACCAACCTGCAAAAGAATACGATGTGAAATAGATGGTGCCTCATACTTTGGTTTACATCTAATGGGCTGTCCGTACCATCAGATTCATCCACTGTTTGTCCTCATACTTTGCAGCCTACCCCATATGACATCACATTTAATAGTTCCAGATTTTTATTTGAATCTCCAACAAATGGTGCACACTCATAAATATTAGTCCTTGAAATGTGTTTTTTAAAATCAAGATCAGTGAATTATTCCCTTGGAAATTATGTGAAAATGTGAAAATGCCTCCTTGGCAGAAGCTGATAATTAATAATAAAAACAATGTCACATTGAAGTTTGAATATAAGAGTGAGATGAAAGTCAGAGGATAAGTTTCTGTGCTGCAGTAAAAACCTCTAGTTAATCCACCTTGTCACAAACTTTACAAACCAAGTACCAAAAGAAAACCACGATCAAAAGAGCTGCTTTTATTGACAATTGCGAAACTGTATATCGTTCAGCACACTTCAGGGTTAAATAAATGAAAAAAACACTCCCACCACATGAATGACCATATATGAAAAACTTTGAAAGTGACTTTTCCTGTGAGCGAATTCATTACAGTCGTTGTGGGATTGATGGGCCTGGCGTGTTCCTGACTGCAGGATCATAAAACCCAGAGCCTGAGATGAGGAGACGGAGAGCCGTAATGTGTGGCCGTGGCCCTGGCCTGCTCACAGCGAGACAGCGCAATCTGTGAGAGACACCAACTGTCTCTCCTCAGGAGATCAACACTGCACGATAACAGAGGCTTCGAGAACACAGCACCTCGCGGAGGACTCGATAGCTCCACTCAGAATCAGCTTTATTGGCCATGTATGAGTACACGTGCAAGGAATTTGAATCTCAATGCACAGAAATAGACAAATAAACAAAAAAACAAGGACAACAAAGCAGAACAAGGTTAAGCAAACTTAACCAAAACATCCTCCTCTTCTTTTCCTCTCTGCATCAACCACAAACTCCACCTGTCCCCCAACTATGACTTCTTAGTTCTTAGCATTATCTAAATTACCTCCAACAATAGAGGTCAGGTTTTCATCTGTGTTTGTTTGTTTGTTAGCAGGATTACGCAAAAAACTTGACTTTTATTATAACAAAACTTGGTGGAAGGATGCAGTATGGGTCTGGAAAGAATCAATTTATGGATATATTGTTGATTAGGGGGCAGATCCAGGATTTTCTTTCCACTTTCTTTAACACTTGGAGGCGTTTTCGTTGATTTCTCATTGAATAATTCATGGATTTGATGAAAAACACTCGATATGTTTAGGGCCGAGGTCTTTTTGTGCATGAGGATGTGAGGCGGACATTTCATTAGACAAGGTTTCCATTGCAGTGTTTTGTATATTACTTACCCACAGCTGGTTTCCAGCAGACTGTCTCCGACCTGAAGGGAGGCCATGCCAAAGTCTGCTATCCTGATGTTGTTCTTTTCATCTAGCAACAGGTTCTCTGGCTTCAGATCCCTGTGGCTGGAAGAATCATGAGACAGAAACATAAAGCAGTTAATGAAGCATGAAATAACACATCATAGTTATGGCAACTGGTGAAAATGAGGAGAAGTGAAAGGCGGGCTTCAAGGTCTACCGAGCACCTGTGGGTCTGACTCGTATCCACATCATGCAACGCAACTGTGAACAACACAGCATCTTAACGTGTTACTGAGCGCCCCCACTTCCTCTCTGCAACACCTCTCTGTTTGATCCGACCGTGCTGAAACTCCCACCTCAGCACTGGGGCTTGTACGAGGTGTGACAGCCCCCTGGTGTGTCCTTCTCTCCTTCTCCCTTCCCCTCTCCCTACCTCTTCACCCCCTCATTCTTCTCCTCTCATCTCCCAGACAGCCACCGGCACACTGGCGGAGCCAGCAGCAGAGGTGGGGGTCATTAGCTGCCATTCATTACCATGAAACACAGCGAGGGGTAAAGCATCCAGCGGACGCCATCTCCCTCCTTAAAGTGGACCACTTCTCATATCCCACATGCTGTTGCTGTGTCGGAGGTTAAAATCTCAATTTTGATGAGTGACTGTTCAGTTGTTTTTGCATTTTATCAAACATCTCTTCCCAGTGTGTGGGCGGCTCTTGCGATGTATATCAATGCTGAGGGAGGCAACATAGACGCACTGACGTCTACTGTATCTGTCCTTTCCATAATCTTACACGTAGCCGAACGATAGAAAGGAACAACAGCTGGATGTGTCTGCCTGTGAAGAACGCCTCATCGAGAAGGGACGTTTAACCTCGGATGACATCAGCTGCTGTGCAACTAGTTTCCTGTCCTGAGGGATTAGCTGTCAGCTGGTCACTGGCAGTCTCTGTGATCCCTGCTATAATTGAAACAAAACACAGATAGCATCTAAAACAGTTCTCCCCGGGCTAAAGCCTTTATCAGTTCACACAACCATCATTTGGCAGAGACGCTGGTCTTTTGAATAATACCGTCAAAGCACATGAGGAAGAAACATTCACTGATCCGCTCATGGGCCACCGGTGAGAGACTCTGGTTCTTCTGGGCATCTCCAAGGTGCGTATGCGTGTAATCCTGCCTCTGTTCTGTAAGAGTATTTTGTCAAAACGCCTGATTGAGGTTTTAAAAAATAATGTTTCTCCCGGCAACACAGCTAAAAGTTAGAAATCACTTGCGGCTGGAGTTCAAATGCAACAGAAGGTCAACTCGCAACTTTTTCAACACAGGAACCAGACAGCAGGGCCTGGAGAACATTCAATAATTTGGTGTGACATCAGCCCTGACTGCAGCCGGTGTTTCAGGCGGCGTTCAAACATGATTAGCTATTAAAACCATTAGAGAGGTAACACCCTGATCTTCACAGACCCCAATCAGAGCGCAACAGTCTCAACAGAATCATAAATATCTAAGTACACGCCTCAAACTTTCAGCCTCAGACGTAAAAAATCCATCAATCATCATCAAAAAGACTCGTAAACGTGGCACAAACCAAATGTCAAGAGACAGATGCACAAAAAGAGAGAGAGAGGGCAGCAGGATATTTATCCACCAACAGCATCAAGGGGACAAATTGCATCTGGATGCTTTACAGTTTGTCAGGACCCTGGTATCCATAATGGGACATGAAACTGCCTCTCTGACACATTAGGCTGCACTTTGCCACTGTAATCTTGCACACGCAGCAGGCTCCGGGATGTATAATATGTCATGCAGGAGCGGAAGCTGTTAGGCGAAGTCAACGGCTGCGTTGAGGTTGAATGGCTGCAGTTTGTCTCCTCCTAGAATTTGGGGAGCAGAGTGCCACAAGGCTGCATGCAGATCTCGGAGGGGGGGGTGACGTTTCAAAAATATTGTGCATGCAGTGCTCGCAAAGTTGGTTTCTGCCGGACAGGAAACAGTACAGTGTAAATGTTGGTCCACATGGGACACGGGAAAGTGTAGTTAAAAGTACACAGGAGTAAAAAGGAGTAATAAAGTAGAAATATAAAAACAACAAATACCAATGGAGGGCCACTATAATAATTATTATAGTCATCCTCGTGCCAATAAATGGAGGCAGATATTGATATTTATTACGTATCTACGTTGATGTGTGGCACAGGCCTCACTAAGCTGTTACGATGCAGCTCAGTTTAATTTACAGGGCACATGTGTGTGTCTGCGTGCTGTCTGACTGAGGTTTACACCCCAGTGGGGCTGTTAAACATGATTCTTGCAATCTCACACACCGAGCTCTTAATTGCCTGTGATCATTTGCACGTAGCACACGGATATGTTGTGTTTTATCGAAGGTTACAATGGGTCTGTCCTCGTGGGGCTCGCATCCCTATAATATCCCAGACATGTTTATGGTGATGAGCAGGTTTGCAACTAAATTCTCCAGCCCAAGGAAAATTAACTCTTTTCCATGGTGGCGCATTGTGACATACACCATGTTTAACATTGCCTCTTGTTATGTCGTGTGGCTCTAAATGGCCACAGCACTCGAAACTAATTCTAATGGCTCAAATGTATTTTTTACATTTTTAGAATATTAACATGGGCTGAAAACGTCACCTGTTTTTTTTCCATTTTCATGAAGTACTTAAACCATCCTGTTATCATTACTGTAAGTGGAGTTTTTAACCGTCACTGTGAGTTGAAAAGCCATTTAGCCGGCGGTGCACCTCTGTGCCAGCCTCCTCCTATTTTTTCTTTTTTTTAACTTTTTAGGCTTCTGTTGACCCAATTAGAGAAAGACCAAGCACATTCGCTAAAAAAAATGCTTGAGGCTAATATTCTATCACGTTAGCAAAAGAGCACAACATTCTGACTGCTGACTTCGATGTGTTAGGCACAATCGTTTATTAGCCAACAGGGTTCATTTGGTTTTAACAGCAATTAGGGGCAAGAAAGATAAAGTTGTGTTTCTTCACTTTTTTTTTTTTTTGCTTTGTTATGAAATTAGTCTGTCTTAGAATTTCTTAGTACAAAGCAAGTTATTGGTGAAAAAGAGATAAGACTTTTGCTGTTATATTATTCTGTTGAATTTGTGTCTTAATCTTTAGAGTAGCAGAGTAAAACATGTGAATAGTCATTTGTTCGACGTCGAGATAAAATTCTTTTATGTGATTTAAAGAGTTTTTTACCCTTTTGGAAGGAAAAAAGATTAATTTTCATTTTTATATTTCATTTTTTTTAAAAGGAACAAATCTAATTCCAATAATCTAAAGGCGATAATCAATTTTAAGAAATGAAGAAAGGCAGTGAAGAGGAGACGGCAAGCAAGTGAAATGTATGTAAGCTCTCAACGAGCTAACATCTTGTTTAAATGTTTAATGGACATGGAAATTGACTTTTTGGACTTCAAAGATACACACAGTACCTTTTGGTGAGTAATATGCGATAAAATATGTAGAGTACTTTAAGCTTTTTATAAGCACATTCCACAGGGCAAGATTAAGAGCTACTTTCTTGGAGAGACGATGTAACTATTGGTCTGATATGTTCTTACATTCTTGTTAGGATTTTGAAAAGTTCACTTGGATAACTCAAGTGCCCCCTAGCAATAAATACAAATTGTAACTGGATTCAAATTGAGAAAGAGATCACGACTATTTTTCACAGATTTTCAAAGATGTTCCTGTCTAGTGACGGCTCATTCAAGAGCGTTCTTTTTGTCAGCTGGTGTTTTGAGCAACACAGCGACGCGTTGTCGCATGTAATGCAGTGACTAAAAAAGCGGGATTTACAATAAACAAACGATTTGCTTTGTTGTGACAAATCTGTGTGTGCAACCCAGCGTTTGCTCCTAATCCAGAGGAGTTCGACTGGGTGAAGATAGGACGAGCAGCAGACCAACAAGACGGCATAAACAGATAAGCTGTCAGAGAACCGTTGGAGTGAAGGAGTGGCACAGATATTAAAAACCCAAAGCACGTTAGGCGTCTACACATGGGGCTGTGGTTGTGCAAAATTTCTTTTTTAAATAGCTGTCTGTGTCTTTCTCAGGATAAGAGCGACCAATTGTCTTAATAGTATCTCATCACTGGTCGTTGTACTTCTGATATTTCCACATATGACTGGATCTGAAGTCATATTGGCCTTTTTGGCTTAGTTCCCCTCTTTAATCTTCTCTTCCATTCACCATTTTACTTCCTATTTGCTACCCTCTTCTCAACTTCCCCTCACAGCCAACAGCCCATTCCCCCTAAATCAAGCACCAAAGACCAACCTACTGCTTCAATTCTCCATCCTCCTCCTCCTCCTCCATCCCATTTCCACTTCCACTTCCTCCATTCTCTTCCCGACATCCTCTCTCACCTCCTCCTCTCACACACTGACACTTGAGGAGGAAAAACTATCAAGAGAAAAATATGACGACGAGGAGACAAGAGAAAAAAAGATTTCCATTCGGTGTTGTTTGCAACCATCAGCCGTAATGATGATAGGCTATAAGTACAGGCTTTCTACAGGGAGGCAGACAGAATATCATCTAGTAAAACTCTCCTAAGAATGTCAACAAACACACGGCCTGCAAACAGCCACAAGGGCATGAGCTGCTGGTGATAGGGGGACAGACACACAGGGGATGGTTGGTGACAAACAAGCCAACATGGACTGCATGATTACAATCGGGCTCGGAAGTTAAACAGAAACAGTAGATTCTCATTCAAATGCCATGCAAATTGTCACTGGAATCGCATCTAATAACATTATGCTAACACTGGGAGTTAGATGCACATAGATAAACAGCCAGTGATGCCAATTCTCCGTCTGCTGCCATTAAACTATGGCAGGAGAGGAAATGAAATGACGTAGTTACCAGAGAGCTAGCCAGGCCTTAAACGATGGAAAAACATGTGGAGAATGTGAAGGAAATATTTCCTTTGTTTGTTTCATGTATTCATTTAAGGAAAGTTATGCTCTCTGTGTCATTTCACACATAACTGCCGCTGTTCATGCTCATAAGTTCATGCTCATGCTTCATGCCCGGTGAGGGATTTGTTTGACGTCTGTTTTAA